TTTGTTGTCCCGTCCCAGCAATCGAGCAAGCAAGATGGTTCATGCCCACTATAAGAGCCTCAAGAGAAATTCCCCCATGTCTATAAGCAGAAAATGATAGTTGCATATTCAAAAAATAAGAACTTAAATGATAATATTGTTAATAGTACATAACAGATACATAACAGATAACATTTGGCGAGTTATTTTTTCTAATTTCAGATCAGAATCAGAACAGAAGAAAACCCAATATCAAGACCCTTAATCCTACTTTCTAAATAAAGTGTCTGTTCCACACTAGGCCTGTACATTTGGGAGAATCAAACCCTCCCTTCCCCGAAACCAGATATGTTTGAAAGTGACATTTATATAAAAAAAATAGGTTTAAACTTTTCAGTTTTAGATCATTCTTAACTGGCGTAATTGAAATAACTTTCAGTATTTACATTTTTTGCACATGAGAGATTGTGATTGCCAATTACACCTAGTAATTTAAAGTTTTCAACTTGTTTAATAAACTGATGATTAAGTTCAACTGATAAATTTCCTGAATTCCCTCTCCTTATGATTACAGCGGATTTCGAAGACTCACGATTGGAAATCGCTCAATGGATGTATTCAGCGTTTTATAATTAATTACTTGATTTTGTGCATTTATCGGATTATAGAGGGATTTTGATGTATAAATCCACTGATGGACATATACTGTTATTGGCCAAGTTTGAGCGAAATTAAAATATTACATTTATTAAAAAATTTAATAAAATGGCGTCCCAGCCAAAACTGTTTAAATGTAAAATGACGCATTTTTGCGCAACCGGAAATGACGTAGAACTTAACCACTCATAGCGTCTTTCGAATTACTGTTCCAATTCTGAATCCATTCTTGATTGAAATTTTTGTTTTGTTCATTACCTTTTAGTAATGACTAAAGGATAGCACTTTAAAAAAATTAAGATTTTGACTTTTGTCGCTGACTTTTTTTCTTTTAATAATAACGTTCTTTTTAAACTTGTACAATTTTATTTCGATCGATCTGAAAATTTACGATTTGATAGACATTTTGATTGCAAACAAAATTCTGTTCTCAAAATGTCTGTATCACTTCCGGTTTTGACTATAAAAACATGTGTGAATTTCAATATTACGAAGAAAACGAAGAAGAAGTGGAAATAAAAGATACCATAGAAAACTTCATTAAATCAAAGAATCCAACGGATATAAAAGTTTTTGTTACGAAAAATGTTAATGATCTAGACTTGTCTAATATTGATAGCAATCGGAAGAACTTGATATTGTTTGACGACTGCGTAGCGCAAAGAAATCAAGCTGTTCAACAAGAATTCTTCACGAAAGGGAGAAATCACGACTGTCACTGCATATACCAATCCCAATCTTTTTACGGGATGGATTCTATGTTCATTAGAAAAAATGCAAATTGTTTTTTATTATTTGAAGTAAACGATAAAGATTAATCTCAAATCATTCAGTCGATAAATCACGGAATGGACAGAGATGCATTTAACAAGGTTTGTAAAGCTCAATGGAAAAACCCAGATTA